GGGCAGTTATTGCATGTTATTTTGTAAATGACGTTGGTATTGTGTGATTCTAAATAATTTTTGTTTAGTTTAGGGCCAGGTTTTTGTGAGAATTTGACGTTGACAGGAATATTGTGTTTAATGGCTAGTTTAGTCCAAGTGTGGATAATTCTTGAGCTGGTTTCAGGAACAAAAGTTTGTGAGTTGAGTTTTATTGTGGGGAATGTTGGAGAAAAAAATTAAAAATAAACTATAAGTGAAAAGACAAGAATGTGAAATTACTCCAATTTCATTGCACTGGACATTGATTATAATACGTAGAGTTAGTGATATAGTAGAAAAAATAAAAGATAAACATTTACCTTACAAAACTCTTTTGATATTGATTTAGATGGTTCTAGAGATTATGGAAATAAAATGTGAAAACCGTATTTTAATACTTCATATGAAAATCACCTTGCGGGCGAACTATTCAGAGTGCAAATGCAAACACCTACATTAAACAACAAATCGTTTGATTAGAAATAGTAGAAAAAAATAATTAAATATTTAATTTTCCAAAACTACATACTTTTAGGAAAATTCTTTTCAAATTTAAAACATTTTCATCCACTAGTTTTATTTTTGGAATGAAATAAGAATATTAGAAGCTGAATGCCAAAGAGTTAAGGTGGTTTCCTATATAGAAATATAGAAACTAAGGTAAAATAAAAACATGCTTTTTACAAGATACAGCTCCACTCTCACAAGATGATATCAGCTGCATTACAAAGAATACGTTTCTCTACCAAAGGACAGAAAATATATTGCCTTTTGCACAGTATGCAAACATAAGTTGTTATACATTACATTTGATATAAAATACTGCCTAAAGCAAGTTTTTTAAACTAGATCTACTAATATGGTACTTTCAGAATTGTGTAAAGAATAATCTAATTACAATGATATATTACACAATACAACTGAAAAGACCCAATCATGTAACAGTTCAGCAAAATATTTTGGATTAATGAACTTGAAAAGAAAAGGTAAAATATATCTGCCAAGCTATCCTTTAGTAAGAAACAAAATAAAAGTACTTGTCTGTTATCCTAGAAATGTAAAAACAAGTACCTTAAAGATAAAGAATTTGTACAATGAAAAAACAACAACAAAAAACTGATAATTATGATCAGTTCCTATGAGAGAAAGACCTAAATATTGTGCCATTATCTATTCACTTAACTGTATTAATAAAATATCCTACTGAAAGTAATTTTTCCTTTCACTTTTCAGTTATGAAATGATTAACAAGTAAAGTGTTTTAAAAGAATAGTAAGAACTATGCTAAGCCACAACAGATTTAAGTAACTTAGCCAGTAAACGTGCAATACAAGTAATAGTTCATGATTCAGTTAATTTAATAGGTATAGAATAAATCCCTCCTTGCTTGCATGAAAATATGATAAAGCAGTGCTTTAAATATAAAAAGGAATGGGACATGGCTAACTTATAGTGACAATCAAGTTTTGTACAAAACATCTGGCAGCTAATCAGACAACAAGATGCTGGCATTTGAATAAAATCCAGAAAGGCATATTTCAGAACATTGACTGAATTTGTTCTACACTAGAAACAGAATTATTGCTTTCAGCCCCCAAACTGAGGTTGATCTGAACAACAGATATGTTACTGAGTTTAGTGTGAACAAGATAAATAATTGTTACTTTTACAAACAGAACCACTGGGTTGCCCAACAACAGACAGTTTTTGATTTTGCTGAAATGATTCCAACTTTAGCCTGAAATACATAAAAATCTTTGCTTCTAGATCTGCAATTTTTGGTTTAGTCTGAAGTACAGATAGAATCAGTGCTTTCAAATCAGTGAATATAGGTTAGTTTGAACAAAAGGCAAAATATAAACTTTCACTGTCATGAATCAAAATGTGGCATGAAAGTTTGACAGAATCATTCTTTATAGAGTTCTGTGTGTTTGGATTTAAACTCAATTACATGCAGAACAATTGCTTTCAGATATGTGACTACATTTGATTTGAAATATAGACTATGTTCCACATTTGTAAATAAAATTGAGAAATTTGTTGTTTACAATCTAGGATCAAGTTAAGTCTGAACTATAAATGTTTTTATTGCTTTCTGATATTTAACTCTAAATTTGGTCAAAGATATCCACAAAATAAGTCCTTTGAGAATTAAGGAGTTTCCAAAGAAAACTTCTTAAGTGCTGATTATGAAAATTTACTCAAATGAACTGAAGTACAATGTAATAACTATTAATTTTTATTGTTTTTTAATTTGACTCGCATTATCATGGAAAAATATCAAAGGGTATCAACTAAACTATGATCATAATTCAGTGAAAGAAACACATATGTAGCTTATATACGAGTATAATTCATTACAGTGGTTTTATTTAAGAGGTTTCATCATCAAATGAAATAACTGAAATGTTTAATACTGTCTTCTCATGAGGATTTTGTAATTGTTGCATAAAGCTGTAGTTGGACTGCAACACTATTCTAAATGAATAGAGCAGATATAACATCACACACTTAAAAAGTCTTCCTCAAAATAACTCTGGATTAGGCCTTTGTTATTGATAGTTAATAATTTCGTAATTTAAACATATGTCATATGGTGACAAGACTGATGATCTTAAAACTATGATGTGTAACATTTTATTTGACAAGTCAGAGTTTCTACTCCTTTTTCTAATGTCAAAATCAAATTATGTCTAAAACTATTTAATAACTTACCGATCTTCAGCAAAGCTAGTGTATCTGTCATACCTGTCAAATAAATTCACAATTTCAGAGTAGCTTTCTTCATATTTATCTCTACATACATACACACATACATACATACATACATACATACACACACACACACATACATATATATATATATATCTACATACATACATACATACACACACACACATATATATC